TCAGTTTTTCAAGGGACGGTTGGCAACCCTACTTCCAAGGTTAGTGGTGCTACAACACACCATTATTAGTTTGTCTCTACACATTATTCCAAAAAAAAAAAAATAATCCAATGGACTTAGTTTCCAAGTTTGAAGACGTTTCGCTTCCCATCCAGGAAGCTTTTTCAGTTAAAATGTCAAGAATAGCGTTCCATGTTATACACAGTAGTGCTATTCAATGCAATTCCTGACATTTAAATCGATAAAGCTTACAGGATGGGAAGCAAAACGTCTTCAAACTTGTAACTTGAAGCAAAACGTCTTCAAACTTGTATCCACTTTTTTGGATAAATACAAATTGGTTCATTCTTTGGCAAATAATGTAAATGTTCTTAATGTACCTTTTTTTATTATATGCATTTTATTATTGGTAATTATTTGCTTATGTATTTGTGCTAAAGTAGTTATGAGTTGTTTTAGTCACCATGGACTGTGAGCCTCTCCATTGAGATTTCACGCTCCCTGAAACAAAACTTTCAAACTAGCTCTCTATAAACCTTTTTAAATCCAAGCTTTTGACTTCTAGTTAATTATTTAGGTTAATGTTCAGATTTGTTGCTCTTCTAATTTTGCTTTCTTCATCTAAATGTTTTGCATATGTATTTAGTTCTGTGCTCTCCTGCAGCATACCTTGTCTTTTGACATCAGTCATGATTAGAGCTGCATAAAGCCCTATTTGATCCTGTGCATTTGTGCATCAATAAGAGATTAAATAATCTTAATTATCCAGGGATATCCAGTCCATCATATAAAACAAAATGAACTAAAACTACTGCATCTTCTCTTTCTGCTCATTAGAGCTGTGCATCCCGATGGTGCTCTTTCCAGAGAGGAAGGGGATGATCTTCTCAAACAGGAGGATGCAGCTCGCCATGCCTGCAGACACAGAGGTTACCTTGCAAATATAACCTGTGTTGAATATGAAACTTAAAAAAAATACTACACAGAGTAAAATGCTATGAACAAAAGTATCTCATTACCCAATATTGGTCCCAACCAGTAGATAAAGCAGTATTCAAGGTAGGTGTGACCACTGCAGGGGAACTGAATGGAAAAAGCCAGGGCAGGATTAAAAACAGCCCCGGAAATGCTTCCACCTGCAGAAAGAAGAAAGAATAAACTTAGAAGCAAAAAGGAATTGCTGCTCCTTTATCCCACACTTGCTGAAACCACACATAGGTTTTTCTGCAATGAAAGAAATCAAACAAACCAAAACTCTCACGATCTGAGTTGTGAAAGTATCTCTATGAAGAACTGTGTTGATATTGTCCATTTGCTGGCGTGTTTAAAGGAAAAGTTCGGACATTTTCAGAGTACAAACTTCTGAAAGACAGGTTGAGTCTATGATGACTTTATTCTTGTAATTTTACGACTTTATTCTCGTAATGTTACGAGTTCTTGTAATGTTACGACTTTGTTCTCGTAACGTTACGACTTTGTTCTCCTATTATTACGACGTTGTTCTCCTAATGTTACAACTTTGTTCTCGTAATTTTACGACTTTATTCTCGTAATGTTACGAGTTCTTGTAATGTTACGACTTTGTTCTCGTAACGTTACGACTTTGTTCTCCTATTATTACGACGTTGTTCTCCTAATGTTACAACTTTATTCTCCTAATGTTACGACTTTATTCTCGTAATGTTACTATTTTATTCTCGTAATGTTACGACTTTATTCTCCTAATGTTACGACTTTGTTCTCGTAATTTTACGACTTTATTCTCGTAATGTTACCACTTTGTTCTGGTAATTTTACGACTTTGTTCTCGTAATGTTACGACTTTGTTCTCTTAATGTTACGACCTTATTCTCTTAATGTTACAACTTCATTCTCGTAATATTACTATTTTATTCTCGTAATGTTAATATTTTATTCTCGTAATGTTACGACTTTTTTCTCGTAATGTTATGACTTTGTTCTCGTAATTTTACGACTTTATTCTCGTAATGTTAATATTTTATTCTCGTGATGTTACGACTTTATTCTCCTAATGTTACGACTTTGTTCTCGTAATGTTACGACCTTATTCTCTTAATGTTACCACTTTGTTCTTGTAATTTTACGACTTTATTCTCGTAATGTTACGTCTTTATTATCGTAATTTTAAGACTTTATTCTCGTAATGTTACGTCTTTATTCTCGTAATTTTAAGACTTTATTCTCGTAATGTTTTGACTTTGTTCTTGTAATGTTACGACTTTGTTATCGTAATTTTACGACTTTATTCCCACAATGTTACGACTTTATTCTCATAATGTTACAACTTTATTCTCGTAATGTTACGACTTTATTCTCGTAATGTTACGACTTTATTCTCGTAATGTTACGACTTTATTCTCGTAATGTTACGACTTTATTCTCGTAATAGAAGGAAAAAAGCCTTGCCCTGATACTCCGTGGTAACTTGTTAATATATGTCATGTTTGCAGGTTGGGGCGGGCCTCCAATCAGCGCACCTGCATAAACCAAAGCGGTGATGACCGCAGCGAAGCAGTGAACTCTGAGCCTCTCGTCCAGCCTGTGGATGTGCGTGGCCACAGCCTGCACCGTGAACGCGCAGAACATTTCCACAGCAGCAGCTTCCAGCGGCGTCCCACCGAGCGGGTCGAAGCACCGGAACCCAAACTTCTGGTGCCGGAGGTGCATATCTGACAGACCCAGGGACCAGACGGTGGCTGCCCAGCCCTGCGCGGCCACCGCAGCCCCCATCTGGAGGGATATGAGCAGCGCTGCTTCCCAGACGCTGGACGCGCCGCGGCAGAAGCTCTCCAGAGCCGCGGCGGGATTACATGTCGCTTCCCTAAAAGTTGATAGATGGACAAAGGTGACAAAATAAGTGAGAGTCAAGCTGGTGGAAAGGTCCAGGCGGATGGATTCTCCGAGCAGTTTGAGTTCCTGCGTGCAGCAGCAGAGCTGGAAGGTGGACACCGCTTCCAGCAGGTAAGTCCAGTAAACTCCGCGGAGCAGGCGGGCTGCAGCGCAGCGAGCCGCCTCACAGAGGAGCACCGCGGCGGCCAACACCCCCAGGGACACCCACAGGTCAGCCATGGCCGGTAGCAGCTCCAGCAGCTTCACTTCAACTAGTTCTCAGTGGATCATAGTGTCAAAGTCCCGCAGATCCACGCTGTCACCTCTGTGTCAGCTTTAATTGTGAAACCGGAAGACGAGTGACACAACTTTCAAAATAAAAGCATAACAAGAATTTAAAATCCTAGTCCAGGGGTCTTCAACGTTTTCCAGGCCAAGGACCCCAAACTGATGGCGAGATGGAGCGGGGG